AAGCTGTATGGATATCCCTGGGGAAATGTCAAGCAAGGCACACAGAAATACATGCTGTTGCAAAATTACAGGCACTACAACAGTACGGAGGAACTTGAACTACCTGATGCGATATGGGAGACCGAGTTCTGCAGGAATACAAGGAATGTGGTGAGACGGCAAGGAAAAAAACAGCATTGAAGGATGCAATAGTTAAGGGAAGACTGATATAACTACAGAGTAGTAGGATAGCGCTGCACGACATGCCATGGTAACTTGATAAAAATAAATAAAAGGAAAGGGTGGGATCCGGAATCGTTTTGGGGGAAGAAGGGCAAGAGGCCCTTGGCAGGCAGAGCTGGGAGCCTCCTGGGGAGCCCCTGATCGGACTGGATTTTCTTGGAAGTCACTTGTGTGATTTCTTTTTGAGAGACAAGCAATATCACAGACTATACCACTGTGGAAAACTTCGGTTCCTGAGGTACAGCTAGGGGAGATCACAACACAAACATGGGGTGACAAGCTGAGTCTGAGGCCAATCTTGAAAGTCCAGTCAAAACCTCAAAAAATTGCAAAAGGCAGAGCTGAGAGCAGCCCACAGACACTCACGTAGCTCGGACCAGGACCTGCCCAGTCTCATGGTGCTCCAGGAACCATGGCTGGTGCCAGGGGTGGGGATCCAGGTGAGGTTGGCCATGGCCGATTAGGTGCCCACAGGGCCCTCACATAAACAGCAATGACTCAATTATTCTTTACTAAGATTTGCTCAGTAAGATGTTCTTCATTAGTTCTTTTGGTTAGAGCCCAAATAAGATTTTTTTATGAAGGACTATGCTATTTTTCAGTAGTGAAACCAAAAAAGCCATGTTTCTAGAATCCTCCTAAAAAGCATGACACTGTCTTTTATTCAACTCTAGCTTTTGCACTTTGATACACATCTGAATTGTGTTTATAAAAGTTTTCTCTTCATACATTTTCATAGCAATTTTCAAGTAAATTCTGTACTTCAAAGTAGAGTTTTATTCTGGTATTTTGAAATAGGATTTGGGTTTTTTTATGTTTTTTTTTTAATGCTTGAGAAAGAAAGGAGGTTGTCTGGTCACTCTCACCAAATAATGCATATGTGAAAAGTCCCATATCATTCCGTCAATCCAAGGGAGAATTAAAATTTGCATTGATCACCTTTCCCTCTGACCTGCACCCTTACTGATGCCTTTCATCAGCACGGACCTCATGGTTTGCAGTACCTGCACTGACCATGGGTTCAGAGCAGGGGTAGGGATAATTTCATGTCATTGGCATTCTGCAACTGCCCCAAGGACCCACATTTCACAAGAACTAGTGTTCGTCAGTGGCACTGGAGTACTTCCATGATCACACCTTCTTGGACTAATCCTCCCTCTGACAGTTCCCAATATTTCTGCTGCTTGGCTGGAGGGTAAGGAGTACAATGTACAGAGATCCTGTGCCCTTCTCTGTTGCAAATAGTTTCTACATCGGAAGGATAAAGAGACCAATCCAGCCTCTCACCTAAATCGCTCCGTTTTTCTTGTCCATCAACTTCTTTCTTGCTCCTCTATCTTACAAACTATAGCTTACCAAAAGTGAGAGAGACAAGAGCAACTAGATTCCCAGCTCATTTCCCAGTACAGTTGCAAACAGTGCCAGAAACAAGCCAGAGATATTGCTGAAATGTCTGCCCACGCCCCTGAAACCAAGTTTGCGTCAAGAAGCACTGTCCAGTTAGAGTAATTAGTCTGTCGACTCCTAGCACGTCAAGTAAGCCCAAGTGGAGGTAGGGTTACATGTGTCACTGCCCCTCTGAGGAGCAAGCCTGGTGCTCGGCATCTTCCGTCAACCAACTCCAACTTGCCTTTCCTATGCCGTGCACAGGGCAGTGTCGCAGACTTCACGAGGCCTCAGGCTGCTTAAAAATGAGCCCCTGTTCATTAAAGCATCCAGCTGTTGTTCTGGCCTGTACCAACCAGGTGTGGCAGAGACCGGGCTGGTATGAGAAGCAAGCAACAGACGGCAGCAAGGAAAAGGAAGAACAAAAAAAATATAACATGTCATAGATATAAGAGTATGTGTCCTTATCTACACATGTTAAAGGCTTAATTTATAGATAAGCTAATCAGAATGAGATCTTTAACTCCCTGTTGCGAACGCTATGAAAGCATGTCTTATAAAGTACTGAGGAGCCATTTGCTCTTAAAGCTGACACAAAAGGATTTGTTTGCACATGTTCAACATTACTGACTCCACAAGTTGTATTTTAAAAGAATGACAAAAACTTTGTTGGGTAAAAAACTGATACGCACTGCACTTAAAGAAAAACAGATGGGTGTAGTGGGCACTTGTGCTTTGTGTTCTGATCCGCTTTGAATATATCTGTTGACTTTTAGCAGTAATTACAAGCTCAAATCATTGACCAAGATCCTATAATGTCCAGTGATGTTTGGGCATCAACTAAAAGATTGTATCTAGTCTAAAGAACAAATAAGTGTATTCAGAGAATGCTGGAGAAGAGGTAGAAAAACCAATATGTTTTGTAAACCTGTCAGTTACACCATAGGCTTCATAACTTTACATTTTCATCTATGTTAGTCCAAAAAGAAATGTCACAGAAAGAAAACAAACAAACAAATAAAACAACCCGAAGGAAATTATAATGGGATAGACACTGTAGAAGGAGAGAACTTTTCACCTCAACAGCTGAGTGTGACAGTGGAGCAAGACCAGGCTGGGCTCGGTAGTCACCTGGTCTGCCCGGAGTCGATGTCAATGGAAGTACACCTTCTTGCTGTTTTTGTCATAATGTTGATTTTTACTAGTGATTAGACAGTCAAATAAAGGCTGTGTTCCTGGCCATCATTCTCCTGACTCTGAACTAACATTCATGTTTCCATCCTCCTTCCTCAGCACTTCACACCTGAATCTTGGGCAAGTTTACTCCCAAAAGGCTGACTACCCATCAGTGTTTCCTAGCATTTTAAAACTGTAAAAATACCAAAATTGAGATTCTTCTCTTTAAGTGTTTGTGGGTTTTTTTTAAAAAAGTTACATATTACTTTCAAGCATTCTTTACATTATGTTATTTTTGGTTCATATGTTGTATCCCATAACTAAAATCTTCAGCAAAGTTGTATTTAAAACCCAGGTCTTTGAAGTACTTTCTGTTGACTCTTACAGTTCTCAGCTCATGTTTGAGACACCCTTGCTACATTAGTGAATATATCTGTAATTTGTGTGAGAAGATGAGTGTAGATTATCACATAGTATGGCAAGAAAAATAACTGTGATTAAGTGGTAGTTCAGCCCAGAAAGAGAACATTCAGAAGAGTATTATGTAAAATATACTAATATACTATATGAATATACACTAAATACAATTGGAAGATAAAAAGGTCATCCACTACCTCTCCCATTTCTTTAGTATTTATTCTTCCATTTATCTGCTGGCCTTATGCTTACCAACAGTGTGATGAAAAGAAACTATTTATATTTTAAAGAGCTATACCTGTTTGTTTAGTAAGGAATATAGTACCTGCTGATTCCAGAATTGTGCAACTAAATGACTCTTAACAGCTTTGAAACTGCATAGTGGAAGAAGATTACCTGCATGCTGTCTCAGCTAAGTCACCACGCGTACTATAGATAGTCATCAAGGTCAGTCATCTTCCTGACTCATGCAGTAAACCGAACACAGCTTTACACAGTATGTGAGAAATTCACTCATTTATCATAACCTCCAACAAAGGGCTTGTAACAGAAATAGACGTACAGAAGAAGACAAATGAGATATAACATATCAGGAAGAATTTCTTTACAGAGAGGGTTGTGAAGTATTGGAACAGGCTGCCCAGGGAGGTGGTGGAGTCCCCATCCCTGGAGGTGTTTAAAAACCGTGTAGATTTGGTGTTGAGCAATATGGTTTAGGGACCCTGACAGTGCAGGGTGAATGGTTGGACTCAATGATCTTGAAGTCTCTTCCAACCAGACGATTCTATGATTCTATGATTCTATAACATTCCCATTCAGCCTGTTTCTCGATTATTCAAATTGCTTGCCCATTGGCACGCTGAACCGAATGGGGATTTGCTCAGGTGTGGAGTCGAGTTAGTCCCTGTGCGTTACATCATATTTGGAAGTGAGCAGGGCTTGTAAGGCCAGCATTTTTCACAGTAAGGGTTAGAGCTTCATTGGGAGTCACAAAACGATTCAGAGGGGGCTATGCAGTGTTAGAGCTGCTCAGACTGCTGCACACATCCTCCCCTGGGTCAGCAACAGCAGATTTTCTCCCTCAAGAAGTAAGAACAAATACTTCTCTTTTCTGTGATCTCTCTAAACCATAGCTTTAGAAGACTTGTTTTTGAAGAATAGCTGGAGATGCACATAAATGCTTTACACAACTAAATTCTCTGCTGCTGCATCTGAGTAAGTACACAGATTAATGCCCTTCTGCAGAGAACACCTTCACTTGAGGTTTTAAAAGTAGTCCCGGTTTTCCCCTGATGTCCAAACAGCCTTAGTGAAAGGAAGTGATCCTGCTATGTGCCTGACAACTAAAGTCATAACTTAACTGGTTGTTTTATAATAAGGAAAAAATGCTTCTGAATGCAGTACAAACTGTTCAAAAGAAATAGAATAGAGGAGATATTAACTTTAGAATACTATTGACCTTACGGCAAAATATCCGCATTTGTTGTATTTTTAACTAATACCACCCTTGAACACAAATATAAGCTGTACTTCAATTGAAGATAGTATCGTAACAACCAGGATGAAGATAATGTGGATAAGACTACTAGGTGAAGTCAGACAGAGGCAATATCCTGGAAAAAGTACATAAAATTTGGGCATGCATGTGTGTCTGAAGGAGGACATTTAATGGAATTTCTATTTCTCCTTGTCTTGGCTTTCTAACTAGACTAATCTCCCAAAAGAGACTCTCATTTCAAACTGTGACTACTTACATCCCTCAGCCAGCTGCTCTTGAGCTTTTTTTTTTCTTTTTCCTTCTAAAAAGAGCCTGCTCTCAATGTTGCAAACTTTTTGGGACATAATATTTTCATGAAAGCCATTCGAAATTTAACATGACAGAGAGGGTAGAGAAATGGGTTCAAAGAGGAATTGATCCACAAAAGCCAAAAAGTTATCTCATACAGGGAGTTATGGATGCACTTTCCTTGGCAGGCCCCACGAATAATCATTAGTAAAGTGTATGGGGCCCAGCAAATGGCAAAGACACATACAATTATGGCAAGTGACTTCGCTATTTTCTTGTCCCGCTGCAGTTTTGACTCAGTCCTTGCACAGAAAGAAACAGAAAAGTCATTTTCTGGGGTTACAGAATTGCGTCTGGATGGAGATGAGCTCTCAGTTACCAAAGACTCTTTCTTTGGCCTCGTGGAGGAAGAAACACTGTCCTCGCCTTCCGATGGAGTAGATGTTCCGGGCCTTGGCAAGAGGCAAAATCTCCAGGACAGGCTGCTGCTTCTCCTTGGACGCTCACAGTCCTGCGTGCTGCCATGCCGCTGGCGCCTCTGGATGTTGTGGAAGATGTGCACATTGAAGTAGGTCACCAAGAGCAGCGGCACAAAGAACTCCAGAGTGGACGCGAACAGCAGGAAGTACCAGTTGTTAAAGAACTCGGCGTAGCACTGATCCGCCGCTACCACGCTGTGTCCGGCCCCATGCTCCCAGAAGAGGATGGCTGGGCAGTAGAGGAGGAAGGCAAAGACCCAGATGGCCACCATCTCGACAACACGGTTGGACGTTATTCTCTGCTGGGCTCTATAAGACACCTATGAGGGAAAAAAAAGAAAAAGGTCACACCTGTAGAGACAGGTTTTGGAATCAACAGAAGTAGCAGAAGAGGAATTTAGCAGAGCCCTTGATAATTTAGAGCTGCAGCTATGCTGATCAGCTGAAGCTCACCCAAGTATGTTTAATTCATCGATGTTGACATAGCATGGGATCGTCTCTCTACAGGTTAATGTAACTGTGCTAGAGTCCTTGGTCCATGCAATGAAAAATTATATTCCATCAGTACCTGGTAATTTGGTATGCCTTGTTTGAGACATCTGTGATCTGAAGTGCCAGAGTAATTAACATTTTACAGTTGTTCAGAGCATGACTTCCATTCACTGACAGCCACGCTGCTTTTTACAGCATTTTCAAGCAAATAGGACTGTGTGTGGCAGAGCAGTCAATAGAAAATGTGGCACATATATGTAACACCCACCTTTGAGAAAATTGCTTATTGCACATTTCATTAGGAGGCAGGAACAAATTTTAGTTCTGCAATGCGTCATTTAGCTGGTGAAACCACAAAATCATACCTTTTCTTCCTTCTCCCCTTACTCCTGGGCTAGTACATCTTTTCCACTATATGTTGCAGAACAGACAGATACTTTGTAGCTCACGTCCTGCTCCATCCCTTTCACAGGATGACAGGGTGAATGTGTAATTCTGGGAGTTTAGATATCGAATTGGAAAAAAAAAAAAGTATGAGTTAATGTCATTAAAGACTATGATATAAATGTCCAAAGGTCTTAGCTACGTTTGTGCAGGTGGTCTTAATTTTTCACTTTGTAAATACTGAGTCTTTGGCTTTCCAGTGTAATGATTCTTAGGTGCAAGATGTTTTGGTGTTTGATTTCCCAGGTTTTTTTAAATCAAATAACATAAAATAATAAAATATAATAAAAAGGTAATTATAATAAGTTAAAATATTTATAATTAACAAAAATAAAACTTAAATTCTGTCATATAACATCATATTGACCTCCTCATACATCGCCAAATAGCTGGAACCTCTAGCTCTCCCCAACATTTCCCTGCCACTTGAGCCAACAGAGTGACTAGCGAGAAATGCTGATCTCCATCCTTAGCATGAACCAAGACATTAAGCACATGTAGGGTGGGTAGGATGCTCCACAGAAAGCAGAGACACAGACCACATCTGGTTTGGAGTTCTGCCCCAGGTGACGAGAGGAGCTTATTGCCATCTGCCCCCAGGCAGTCACTGCAGTCTGTCCTTTGTCCCACTCTCTGCTCCATTAGCTCTTGCTCTCGATCTTCTCCAGGATCATCTGGGGCCACGTTTGAGGCCTAGACATGCTCCCTGGTGTCCTTCAGCTCACTGCCCCAGCCCCACTGCCTTTTCCTCCCATGCATGATTTTAGGTCCAAATTCAAATCCACTATACTTTGAATTTCCTCTTTCCTTGTCCCCTTTTTACCAGCCTCCTGTCTTACCCTTTTCACCCCTCAGCCTGCTTTCCCTCAGGCAGTAGCACAACAGCAACCTGCAGCAGAAATTGCGAGAAAAGTCCTGTTTGATCAGCTCTGGGCTGGAACATGCTGAATGCAGAACATTCACCACTACTAGCGGCAAATATCTAATAATCTCCACATGCTGGCACATTTTTGAGGGCTATTATCTTGATTAAATCTGGGCTTATACTCACCAACATGGCAAAGGTTGGTGGGTATAATCCACCAATGATCTTGTGACAAAATCAGAAAAGCTATGAATGGGGTACTCACAGCTTTAGTAACGGACAGGAAACGGTCATAGCTGATAAGAACAATGTTAAATACTGAAGCTGTGCACAGGAGATAGTCCATAGCTAGCCAGAGCTTGCAGACACCTCTTCCCAAGTGCCATTTCCCCGTCAGGCAGTAAGGGATGTAGAGAGGCATGCAGAACACACCTATGGAAAGCAATCACAGAGACACCATACAGTTCATATGGATCGCAAATGGTAGTCCTGGAAGCAGAGAGAGAAACCATTCTGGTGTTTGGCTAAAAAAATAAAATAAAATAAAATAAAAT